ATGAGTTCACATGACAGCTGGTTCTTAAAAGGTCCCTGGCTCTTTCACCTTTTTCTCTTGCTTCCTCTCTCACCATGTGACATGCCTGCTCTCCCTTTGTCTTCCATCATAAGCTACCTAAGGCCTCACCTTATAAGCTGGCACTGTGCCTCTTATAGAGGCTGCAGAACTCTGACCCAAACAAACCTCTTTTCTTTATAAATTACCCAGCCTTAAGTATTCGTGTATAGCACAGCAAAATGGAATAACACAACATTTACACATTTCATGAATAACTGTTAAATTTGTATTAATTTTGTCTTTTTTTTCTAACCAAGTTTTCAGGTGGCTTCTATGAGAATAATCAGAAACTGGTATCTACCAAGGTTCTTTCTGTTTAATGTAACTTCCTCAAATACTATGTTCTTCAAAAATTAAGTAATTGAGAATGCAGTGTATTATGAGAAACTTTATAAGGACTGATTATAATATAAATCCTTCTTTGCTTAGGATAGTTTTTGAGGAAAAATCTTGCTAGATATAAATTGAATATATATGATATATGGGTACTTAAATGAACATTTACCCTGTTTAGAAACACCCAAGTGTGCAAAATTAAGTACATGGAAGATTTGTGTCTTTCTTGGCAAAAGGCAGGCAAAAAGCAGAATAAAACTGTAGTCATGTAATCCAATTAATCCCTCAATCCAACAAATACCCTTGAAAGGAAAAGGGCAATTCAGAAAATACTAACAACATGCAGAAAAACAGAGGCAGCATTCTTTCAAAGAAATAATTCTCATACTTTATAGGTAAGTGACTGAAACCAAAAATGTTCCTCCTCTAACACAGATTGGTCAACTCTAAATCTCACCTGCTTTTTAAACTCCCTGCTATTATTTAGTCTCTTTAACTGCCAGTTAAGACCCCACAAATACAAAGACAACTGTTCACAGATCAGTGCTTCTGGGCCTATTCCAGAAAGTTTGATACACTGGAGGTTTCTGCCTGTTTTGAAGCTTGTGGCCTAAAATTACTTTTCTTCCTGGCAGTAACTCCAAGTTCGCCTTATTTTTTTTTTTTTTTTTCAGTCTCTCGTGCTTGAATTAGGAAAGCTTTATTTTTAACATTAAAAATAATTCCCACACTGTATTACTTGAAGTTTCTAAAACAACTGTCTTGTTTTATACTCTAATTTTAAATAATTCATTTCTTAATGAGAATCTTTTCATTACTAAGCTCCATTTGAACTTGGTGCTATGAAAACCTAACACAGACTCTTTTGTAGAAATTATTCTTTTGGTTTGGTTGAGGTCATAAACACCAATTCAGGACACCTAATAATCATTCTACTAAGGTCTAGAGAATGGCTGTTATTTACTCAAGGGTATCTCATAATATTAGAGCCAACTTGGAGTTCATACCTGTGCCTCTAGTAAAGACCACACCCAAAATCATCTCCAAGAGACAAGTATTTATTCTGTTCATCTGGATGCTTTTGGTGATAGCTTAACTAAGCAAATCTGCTTAACTGTCTTATCATTTAGAAGATGTTCTGTGATCACCTATTTTAAAAACCACACAAATAAATGTTACCATGAAAACCTGTAGTTCTCACACAGTTCACAAACTGAACAATTCCTTGAGTATTTGTGGGTTATTTTAAAATAGGTAGTATAATTAAAGATATTATTAGAAATATGCTAATGGATGTCTGTATAAACATCAAGCAATGTATAACTATACAAAAGTTTCCCTTCACAATGAATTCCTCTGAATGTATTAATTCTAAAATACATCGTCTAAATCTTAAACACAATTTTCAAAATGTGTTACCTAATAAACTCATTTATTTCATCCTCTACCTTCTGTTATATCAGACAAAAACCAAAACACATAGGCTCAGCTGCTTGAGATCACAGCACAAAGGAAGTGTTGTTAAGAATAAAAAGGGGAAATTCAGGAGCATCTAGATCTAGGTCTTAACTTTTATAGACCTCAGTTCTCCACTGTCATTGTCATCTATACCAGTGATTTCCACCCTTGATAGGTACTCCCTCCATCTAGGACATTTTTTTTTTAATTCAAATTTCTATAAATGGTAGTCTGGGCATGCATTTATACTCCCTGTCCAAATCGTATTAAAATGACAATTAAGAAATAAAAAATATATAAACTCACAAGAACAAAAAAAATGAGAAAGAAGACAACAGCTGACAAGAGATACTGACAAAATTTTGGAAAACAAAAATACATGGACAAAGAGCAACAAACACTTAACAGGCTAGACAAAGCAGAAACTTCAATGTCTGTGGGGCTAGAGGTAGAGAACAACAAGTTGATGTGGGTCTTAAAAGTCTCCAAAAGCTAAGAAATTCAAGGTAGCCCTGAAAGCATGGGTGAAGAGTGGGACAAAAGGCAAAAGTTTTCTAGATTCTCCCAAGGCAGAGTCAAAATAAAAAATAAAAATAAACCTAAGCACAGTGGCTCACACCTGTAATCCCAGCACTTTGGAAGGCTGAGGTGGGCAGATCACCTGAGGTCAGCAGTTCAAGACCAGCCTGGCCAACATGGTGAAACCCTGTCTCTACTAAAAATACAAAAATTAGCCGGGCATGGTGGCGTACGTCTATAGTCCCAGCTACCGGGGAGGCTGAGGCAGGAGAATCGCTTGAACCTGGGAGGTGGAGGTTGCAGTGAGCCAAGATTGTGCCACTGCACTCCAGCCTGGACGACAGAGCGAGACTCTCTCTCGAAAAATAAAATAAAATAAAAATAATAAAAATAAAGCAAAAGTTTTACAGTCTGGATAAAAAACAATTAGAACTCACTACCTCTATTCCTACTCCACATAATGAAGGCACTGCCTCCCTCCAATCCAACAGAAGATAGGAGCTTTACTCTCTGGAGAAAATGAACCAGTGAGGTTCCAGGCACGGGGGTGCAGGGGTGAAGCACTGGACTGGCCACAGGAGGATTCTGTGAAAGCTGACTCATGCTACTGCTGTAAAATGCACTGTGTTCAGCAACTGACAGAAAAACAAGAAAGACGTTTGGCTGTGTCTGTTCAACTGGGCCCACCATAAATTAGGGTTCTTTAATCATAGTCATCCAACTTCTTTCTTGAAAGAGCTATGAAAATGGTAGAAAAATCTAATAAATCTCTTTACTATGAAAGGAACTGTCAATTCCCTACAACTTTTTTTTTTTTTTTTTTTTTTTGAGACGGAGTCTTGCTCTGTCACCCAGGCTGGAGTGCAGTGGCGCGATTTCGGCTCACTGCAAGCTCCGCCTCCCGGGTTCACGCCATTCTCCCGCCTCAGCCTCCGAGTAGCTGGGACTACAGGCGTCCGCCACCACGCCTGGCTAGTTTTTTGTATTTTTAGTAGAGACGGGGTTTCACCATGTTAGCCAGGATGGTCTCGATCTCTTGACCTCGTGATCCACCCGCCTCGGCCTCCCAAAGTGCTGGGATTACAGGCTTGAGCCACCACACCTGGCCAACTCATGTTTGTTAAAGCAAATTTTGGCAAACTGCGTAACAGTATGATATGATGAACTGAGACCCCTTACAGTTCTGGGGCAAGAAATTAAAACATTTTATTTTATTTACCTATTTATTTTTTTGAGATGGAGTCTCACTCTGTTGCCTAGATGGAGTGCAGTTGCATGATCTTTGCTCACTGCAACCTCTTGACTTTTGGGCTCAAGCGATTCTCCTGCCTCAACCTCCGGAGTAGCTGGGACTACAGATGCCTGCCACTACGGCCGGCTAATTTTTGTATTTTTAGTAGAGATAGGGTTTCACCATGTTGGCTAGGCTGGTTTCAAACTCCTGACCTCAAGTGATCTGCCCACTTCAACCTTCCAAAGTGCTGGGATCAAAGGCATGAGCCACTGTGCCCGGCCAGTTAAAATATTTTAAGTGGGTACCAAAGGAACGTCCACATTTGATTGATTACAGTAATAGAACACCTCCACAATAATTTTTTAAATAATAATTACATTTATTTGTTTATCTGTAAAAAATGTGTGAAAAATTATTACACAGAGAGCTATTCCAGAGTACAAAGGTCTGCCCTTGCAGTACTTGAACAGCATGGATTTTCTAACGTTGTAAAAACTTTTTATGTTATGAATTATTTAAAGACTTAACTATCTGGGTCAGAAAGAAATAAGATAACACCAGAACCCATACATAATATACACCATCATTATACATCTGGAGAAAGTTACTGTGATGGTTAATATTGAGTGTCAACTTGTTTGGACTGAAGGATGCAAAGTATTGTTCCAGTGTGTCTGTGAGGATACTGTCAAAGGAGATTAACATTTGAGTCAGTGGACTGAGAGAGGCAGACCCACCCTCAATCTGAGTGGGCATCATCTAATCAGCTTCCAGCATGGCTACAATAAAGCAGACAAAAGAAGTTGGAAGGATCAGACTTGCTGATTTTTCTGGCCTTCAGCTTCCTCCCGTGCTGGATGCTTCTTGCCCTCGAATATCGGACTCGAAGTTCTTCAACTTTTGGACTCTAGAATGTACCAGTGGTTTGCCAGGAGCTCTTGGGGCTTCAGCCACAGACTGAAGGCTGCACTGTCAGCTTCCCTACTTTTGAGGTTTTGGAACTCGGAATGACTTCCTTGCTCCTCAGTCTGCAGATGGCCTACTGTGGGACTTCACCATGTGATTGTGTGAGTCAATACTCCTTAAACTCTTCTTCATATACACATCTATCTTATTAGTCTTATCCCTCTAGCGAACCCTAATACAGTTCCTATATCCTCAAAGCATTCATATTGAGTATTATTCCAGTTAAAACTGTGCTATTTGTAAAAGACAATCCTCTTGATGAAACATGTTGAAACATTAAGGTATTACTTACTGGATGCATTTAACAGTGGAGTCATGTGTGTCACTGCTCCAAGGACTACCCAACACCTTCCCCTCCATACTCAACCTTCTTCTGTCACTCACTCCTAGCCACTAGGCCTGAGAATGCCAGAACAAGGTCACCAACCTTCTCTCTCAGTCACATCAGAACGATCCAACTTGGCTTCCTTATGCTGTCCTTCTGCCACCTTCACGGCCACAGCTCGGCAAATGGCCCCAAGTTTTCTATCCAGAGAACGAACCCCTGCCTCTCTAGTATACCTGTCATCAAAGAAAAATATATTATTTTTGACTATACACCACCTAAAAAAATAGAAGTAATGTGATTAACATTTTTAATAAAGAAACAGTGTACATTTAAAAGTTCATTACCCTTTCTTGAGTACTAGCTTTTCCACACTTAAAACTCCTCATTGTTGTTATTTCTTCAGTACTCTGATGTATTTTCAGCTACAACAATGTCCTTTACACAGATTATTTTGAATTATAATCCTACACTTAAAAATGAACCCTAGTTCTAGTTCAATTTACATTGCCAAAGTAAACCTGGCACCATATAAAAAAACTGTTTACTCCTCGGTAATTTGTTGAAGAGTTTTCTTAAACAAAATTTGTCAATTTAGGAAAATTCTAGATAAATTTATTGTATTTGAAATATTGCTGAAAGAATAAGACAAATTGTGCTCTTTGTGGAACTAAAACAAAAACAAATCTGAGACAGAAATCTGGTTTTCACTAGGCACTTTGCTAACCACCTTTCTTCAGTGTATTTTCATTGTGAAGATTTCTAAAGGAAGAAGGTATGCTAAGTGATGAAAGCACTGTGACACTGTGAAAAAGACTCTACGTGTGGTTAAGCAGAGCTGCTTTAAACACATGTACATTAGAATCAAACTCCATTAAGACATTCCACAGACCATTATACAATGAAATCATTTTTGGCCACTCAGTTTTGGATGGACCTGAATGGACAGGATCAGGTGGAGAATGCAGTTTTATCTGAAGAAATGGATTTGACTAAGCCATACATTTGATTAAGTCAGACATACACTGTAGACTTCACGAAAGCAGATTTTAAAAGTTCTGAGAAAAGACAGATAAAAAGCTCTTAGCAAAACACTCTAAAACTCATTTCAGTCAAAGGTACAGAAGGATATAAAGTCTATATTATGCAACTACACATAATTTCAATAAGGGAGAAAACAGGGAGGCATCTTAACAACTTCTACATTTGGGCTTTAAAAAATTCAGCTCCATAAATACAAAATAGGATATGCCAAGCTTAGTGAAAGTCACTGAAAAAGGGAAGAGAATAATCTTTAAAAAGCTAAGAATCTAGAGATACAGTCATAAAATAATATAGTCAGAATAAGAAAAGCATGATCTTCCTATACCATGAACTGTTTAGACTCTATCTGAAACACTGTGTTCAACTCTGGGTGTTTAATTTTAATACATATTGATATACAGGATTCTTTCAGAAGAAGACTAATTAGGAAGTCTTGAAACTACATCAAGAGGAACGGTACAGAGGAGAGGAATGGTTAGCTTGAAGAAGAGAACGCTTAGCCTGCAGACCTGATAGTATTTTACTTTAATGTCAGAAGGGCTGTACAAGGAGGAATTACACTTAGATTCCAGGTGCTCATATAAGGCAGAAGAAGAAAATTATAGAAAAGTGAACAGAAAGAATATCTTTGTAACAATTATCACTTGAGCTCAGGAGTTCCAGGCCAGCCTCGCCAAGATGGTGAGACCCCATCTCTAATTTTTTTTTTTTTTTTTTGAGACGGAGTCTCACTCTGTTGCCCAGGCTGAAGTGCAGTGGCACGATCTCGACTCATTGCAACCTCCACCTCCCTCGTTCAACAATTCCCCTGTCTCAGCCTCCTCAGTAGCTGGGATTACAGGTGCACACCATCATGCCCGGCATGTGCCTGTGGTCCCAGCTACTTGGGGGATTAGGCGGGAAGATGGCTTAAGCCTGGGAGGCAGAGGCTGCAGTGAGCCAAGATCACGCCACTGCACTCCAGCCTGAGTAACAGCATGAGAACCTGTCTTAAAAAAATAATAAAAATAATTATCTTTGTTACGATTAGAATTACCCATGAAGAGGTAGTGATTAGCTAGCATTAAGCATACTGGGACTAGAAGTATTCAAGTAGGTGAGTTATACTTGGAGATAAGAAAGACTAGAACATTAGGGTCTATGACTGTGACATATCTCAAAAGATGAAAAACTCAAATATTGATACTCTATGTCCTAAGTTTGGTAACTCACTAAATACCCAAAACGTGCCTGGGGTAGTACATACTTGTGCTGTTTTTAAAAACAATATCAAAACTAACAAAACTGCTCAGTATTTCCTTATGTCCATAGCTTTTAAGATCTGATATTTTGAGTCAACAAGTATATATAAAAAAAGAAATAGTTCTCCAGGCAACAATTGGGAAATATAAATAATGATCACTCTTCAGAATCATTATTATTCAGATAAACTCTGGGTTTTTCTCCATCCCTCATATTTTACAGATGGGGAAGCTATCAAAAAGCTTAATGACTTACTGAAAGTTACCCAAAGGCATCATGAGTGTTATCTGGAATAATGATATTGTTGGAAGACTCAGGCATATAAGTCACTTAATTTATTTCTCCTGGCATTATCTACACCATAAATCACAAAACAAATTAAGAAAAGGAACCCCCAGGTAAGATTTAGTCTTACTGTTTTGTATATAAATCTATATAGACCGATAAGAACGCACAGATCAAAAGACAGTCTGGCCAAACTCTAAGTCAAAGTTCAAAATAGAGAAATACTTTACATCTCTTAAAAATAGTAGTTACTAGAAAAGGGCCGCATGACTAGAGCTTGGCAGCCTGACATGACTTGCTGGATGATGCAATGGATCTGTAATACTGAACCAGGAAAACTGTAAGAGGCTGTGGTGGATATAAATTCTCAACAGAGTATATTTTCCATTCAAACAGGGAATCTGTACATTAGACTAAGCAATACTCTATTCAGGTAATTTACACACTGCTTGCTACAGGCTTAAGCATTTGGTAGTAAACTGGGGAAGGCACCTTCTCTATTGTTTCAGTGTTAATTCTGAAGATCAAAATTCCAAGGATTTAAAAAGTCTCTCAGCCAAAGAGAAGAAAAGAAAACTGAGTAACTTATATCAGATTTTCTGAAAGTAGCATATCACCTCTTAGAACTCAAAAACTTTCAAGATCTTGGGCATAAAAAGTGTCTCTATATTTGCCACATATTTGGTTTTTAAATGATCAGATTAACCCCTTATATTGCTATTGTGGCAAAGCATAAATTTCAGCTTTAGCTATAACAATATTCCAAATGGTTTCTCTGTAAACTTCTGCCTAGTACAGAGAATGGTGTAAATCAATAGTTATGACAACACTTGCTGGAAGTTGCTGAAGAAAGAGAAATGGATGTTATGGGATGCCAATAAAATAATCTCCTTTTCAGGAGACTGTGGCTTATCTCAAAAGATGAAAAACTCAAATATTGATACTCTGTGTCCTAAGTTTGGTAACTCAGTAAATACCCAAAACGTGCCTAGAGTTCATTAATGAAGCCTCAGGATGGCTAACTAACCTGGTGATGATGTCAAGAGTGGTGACCTGGGGGATCTGAATCTGCTGAGGAGTCAGCCCATGTTGTTCCAGCTGCTTGGGGATCAAGTGCCTATGGGCAATCTCTATCTTCTCCTCCTGTGTATACCCTGGAAAAGAAGGGATCTTATTTCGTAATTATTTACATGGCTCCCATAATGCCATGTGTTTTTTTTTTTTTTTTAGAGACAGAGTCTCCCTCTGTAGAGTCTCCCTCTGTCGCCCAGGCTGGAGTGCAGTGGCGTGATCTCAGCTCACTACAACCTCCACCTCTCGGGCTCAAGCGATTCTCCAGCCTCAGTCTCCCAAGTAGTTGGGATTACAGGCATGCGCAACCATGCCTGGCTGATTTCTGTATATTCAGTAGAGACGGGGCTTTGCCATGTTGGCCAGGCAGGTCTCAAACTCCCGGCCTCAAGTGATCCACCAGCCTCAGCCTCCCAAAGTGCTGAGATTACAGGCATGAGCCACTACTCCCAGCCAGTGCCATGCTTTTTTAATGAATCAAATATAGATTAAATGGATCTTAGATTTAGAACACATTTAAGTATTATTTCAAATGAGACTATAATCACAATAAAGAAATTTATTTTGGCCAGGCACATTGGCTCACATCTGTAATCCTAGCACTTTGGGAGGCTGAGGCAGGCGGATCACTTGAGCTTAGGAGTTTGAGACCAGCCTGGGCAACACGGCGAAACCCTGTCTCTACTAAAAATACAAAAAATTAGCTGGGCGTGGTTGCACGTGTCTGTAGTACCAGTTACTCTGGAGGCTGAGGCACGAGAATTGCTTCAGCTGGGGAGGGGGAGGTTGCAATGAGCTGAGATTGCGCCACTGCACTCTAGCCAGGTCAGCAGAGACTCGAGACTCTGTCTCCAAAAAGAAAAGGAAAAAGAAAAAAGAAATTTGATCTAAATCAATAATTGTTAAAATTTCCAATGTTTTCACAAACAAAACAAGCATTTACTAAGCACAGTGTTTGAAAGTCTTCTGATTAAATGATGTATCTCCCAAAGAGGAAAAAACCTCAAATCTTAGAGACAATTATCTCTTTATCCTCAAATCCTCTGAAATTTCAAATAGAAAAATAAATGCTTCTTTTTAGCCTAATTTGATCTATACTTGAAACACACACACACCCCTCAATTAACTAAGCAATGGGTTCCAAAAGGGCTCTAAAGATACTGTTTCCAGAACTATGACTATAAAATAAATTGTAGCAGCAAAAGAAAACCTAAGATGTCCCTACAAAAGGCTTTTCCCTCCACATGATCATACATATAAACGTGTGTGTATATGTAATTATATATGTGTGCATATGTATTTATATATGTATATATGTATTTTATATATACAGTATATTTAAAATACTTTACGTTCTTATTTAATAGCCTGAATAAATATAGATTTTCTTTGTCTCTAAATTCTGTAAGACAAAATTCCATCTAACGTCCCTTTCCATTTAACAAGCAAAAACTAAAAATATGAATTGATAACGCACCTTTTGAATGGAAAGAGGTTAGTAAACACCAGGAAAGCTAGAAGATCGGACAGCTAAATCTGCCAAAGGAAGAAGGTGGCATCATATGTTCCCCTCTGCAGCAGCTGTCCTGATTCTTTCACTTTAATTTAGTGTATCTAATGGGTTTTCTGCCGTAACTTGGAGTTTCCAGTGAATTGAGTCTCATTACTTATTTACTTTAGACTTTAAATACATAATTAACTTTTTACTCTACCATATTTTAAAATTAAATATAGGAACCTGCAATGCTCACAGATAATGAAGAAATCCAATTATATTGGGAGGCCAAGGCGGGTAGATCATGAGGTCAAGACATCGAGACCATCCTGGCTAACATGGTGAAACCCTGTCTCTACTAAAAATACAAAAATTAGCTGGGCATGGTAGTGCACACGTGTAGTTTCAGCTACTCAGGAGGCTGAGGCAAGAGAATTGTTTGAACCTGGGATGTAGAGGTTGTAGTGAGCCGAGATCGCACCACTGCACTCCAGCCTGGCAACAGAGTGAGACTCCATCTCAAAAAAAAAAAAAAAAAAAAAAATAGAAATCCAATTATAACTCACTTAGTAGTAAAAATATATTTCAGATTAATTAGAAAAATATATTTAGATTACATTTAGAATCTAAAGACATTTAGGGCCGGGTGTGGCAGTTCATGCCTGTAATCCCAGCACTTTGGGAAGCTGAGGCAGGTGAATCACCTAAGGTCAGGAGTTCAAGACCAGCCTGGCCAATATGGAGAAACCCCATCCCTACTAAAAACGCAAAAATTAGCCAGGTGTGATGGTGCGCACCCGTAGTCCCAACAACTTGGGAGGCTGAGGCACGAGAATCACCTGAACCAGGAAGCAGAGGTTGTAGTGAGCCGAGATTGTGCCCCTGCATTCCAGCCTGGGTGACAGAGTGAGACTCCGTCTCAAAAAAAGAAAAAATAAATAAAAGACATTTAGGCTGGACATGGTGGCTCACGTCTGTAATCCCAACAATTTTGGAGGCCAAGGCAGGCAGATAACTTGAGGCCAGGAGTTCGAGGCCAGACTGGCCAACATGGAGAAATCCTGTCTCTACTAAAAATACAAAAATTACCTGGACGTGGTCGCGAGTGCCTGTAATCCCAGCTACTTGGGAGGCTGACACACGAGACTCACTTGAACTTCGGCAGCAGAGGCTGCAGTGAGCCAAAATTGTGCCACTGCACTTGCCTGGGCAACAGAGCTAGACTCTGTCTCTAAATAATTAAATAAATAAAGACATTCAGCTTCTACTCTACATTAAAAAAAACCTCAGTGATATTTGATCTCTTCCAGGGAAAAACAATTCTGAGCAATCAAAATAAGGTGAAAGTGCTATAATTTATCTAGTGTTAGTAAGCGAAGGAATACATTTTGCACACTCCAGTGAAGAAGACAGTTAAAAAATTTAACTATTTGATAGATTCAAGAGGAATTTAAAAGTGGTATGCATTTTAATATAAAAGTGAGGCCAGATTTTATGAAAACATTCAGTTTTTTTGTTTGTTTGTTTTTTTTGAGATGGAGTTTCACTCTGTCACCCAGGCTGGAGTGCAGTGGCGTGAGGCTCACTGCAACCTTCCCCTCTCAGGTTCAAGGGATTCTCCTGCCTCAGCCTCCTGAGTAGGTGTGACTACAGGCGCCCACCACCGTGCCAGGCTAATTTTTGTACTTTTAGTAGAGACGGGGTTTCACCACATTGGCCAGGCTGGTCTCGAATTCCTGACCTCAAGTGATCCACCCGCCTCGGCCTCCCAGAGTGCTGGGATTACAAGCGTGAGCCACCACACACGGCCTGCAATTTTAGAAATTATGTTAAAGAAAGAATGTCTTATTTTTCACAAAATTATCACTCATGCTAAATTAAATCTGAAATTGTTGTTGTCAACATTTGCTGTTTTGCTCTTCCAGACTTTGAAGCTACATAGAAACTGATTTATATACATTCCTCAGAACTTCTGACGACTGTATGCTGGCAAATGAACCTCTTTCAGTCACAACTCCACAGCATAACTAATTTTAAAGTGACGGTCAGAAAGGCAAGATGTATCACAATGATTTCATTTAAGAGTCAGGTACCTGGAACCTGAATGATCTCCATTCTGTCCAACAAGGCAGCTGGAATGGTGGCAGTGGTGTTGGCGGTAGCTATAAAAAGAACTTGAGAAAGGTCAAAGGCCACATTTAGATAATGATCCGTGAAGTTATGGTTTTGTTCAGGATCCAACACCTAGGGGAGAACAAAAAACATTTTAAAAACTTTAGTAGTTCCAACAGAAGGCTGTATATAAGTGAAAACACATAATGTACTGGGAAGGTTGGTATTTCTGCTCAGAATAGTTTAAGAAACAGACAAAACTAACATCTAAGCATTATTCTTTGCATTCTCTACACTCTACATACTTTTTAAAAAATAAAATACGTTCAGTGTTAAAATTTCTGAAAATGTAATAGCACAAAGCAGCAGAAATTACACTTTTAAGATTCGTTCAAAAATCTATTTATTGATGACTCATTGTTTGGCCATCGTAAGTTACTAGTCCTGCAGAACCAGTTTCCATCTTGGTAACACACCCTATCTAAACTGCTATGGGAATATAAAGCAAATATGTAAAGTATTTTGAAATTCTCAAATAACCGGTAAATAAGAACCCATATAATCCTCCTAGAACATTTTCAGAAAGTCTGGTATAAACTATTTAACGGAAAGGAGAATTCCAAATAAGAGAAACCTTTACTATGAGTTAAGAGTAAAAATTACTATGCTACTGTATTCTGATACAGCAAAAAATTCACTATTTAAAAATGGCTTACTGCAAAAACACTGCTGTCTATGATAAGCAAAATACCAATAGCTCTTTTTTTTTTTTTTTGAGACAGAGTCTCACTCTGTTGCTCAGGCTGGAGTGCAGTGGCACAATCTCAGCTCACTGCAACCTCTGCCTCCCAGGTTCCAGCGATTCTCCTGCCTCAGCCTCCTGAGTAGCTGGGACTACAGGTGTGTGCCACCATGTCCAGCTAACTTTTGTATTTTTAGTAGAGATGGGGTTTCACCATGTTGGCCAGGCTGGTCTCGAATTCTTGACCTCAAGTGATCCACCTGCCTTGGCCTCCCAAAGTACTGGGATTACAAGCTTGAGCCACTGCACCCAGCAATAGCTCTCACAAATATTTGAATTAGATACATCATATAATTTATCAGTCAACTTGGATTCTTCAAATGTGCAACTGTACATTAACGAGCTTCAAGTTACAGGCATTTGTTGCTAAGGGGCTGGTGTAGGACTTTAATAAGGCACTAACAGCTTCTACATGTTCCAAACCTTAAACATATTAACACTTTCACTTAGACACCCAATTACTATAAATAGGGTTGCCATACATATTCAAAAAGGCAATAAAATGACTAACATATTCACCAATTGCAATTTAACTATATAAGCAGGTTTTCCTACCTTCTGATTCTTTCTGAAGTTTTACTTATTTTCAAAACTATCCAAAGTTAGTTTTTTTGGGTTTTTTTTTTGAGACAGAGTCTCATTTTGTCACCCAGGTTGAGGTGCAGTGGCACGATCTCAGCTCACTGCAATCTTTGCCTCCTGAGTAGCTGGGATTACAGGTGCGCACTACCACACCTGGCTAATTTTTGTATTTTTGATAGAGATGGGGTTTCACCATGTTGGCCAGATTGGTCTCAAACTTCTGACCTCGAGCAATCCACCTGCCTTGGCCTCCCAAAGTGTAGGGATTACAGGCGTGAGCCACCACGTCCAGCCCCAAGCTAGTCTTAATTCTAGGCCTCACACATAATTTTGAATTTTGTTAAACATTAATTATTACTGGAAACTCTTTATCTAGAGTTCCCAGAAAGCTCTAATTTCACATTTTCACAAGACTTAATAATGTTTAATATCATTAAAAAACAAGTAGTTTCAAGTAATCAAGGGAAACTAATTATGTTCAGTATCGAATTGGTTAAGAGTGGTCTTACTATCTACTAATTACCTAAAAACTGTTTACAGGCCAGGCAGGGTGGCTCACGCCTATAATCCCAGCTTTTTGGGAGGCCAAGGCAGGCAGATCAGTTGAGGTCAGGCATTTGAGACCAGCCTAGCCAACATGGTGAAATGCTGTCTCTACTAAAAAAATGCAAAAATTAGCCTGGTATGGTGACACATGCCTGTAGTTCCAGCTACTCAGGAGGCTGAGGCACGAGAATTGCTTGAACCTTGGAGGCGGAAGTTGCTGTGGGCTCAGGTCATGCCACTGCACTCCAGCTTGGGCGACGAGCAAAAATCCATCTCAAACAAACAAACTGTTTAGGTATGGAAAATGTTTATGTATGGAAAATAGTTAAAACTATTACCTAGTGACAAAAATGCTCTTTTTTTGACCCAAACTTGAGTCAGGCTCCTCTGAGTCCTCTGCTCAACTAGGCCAATGTCAACCTTCCCTCTGTCTTTGTATAATCCAATTTGAGCAAGAATCTTGCTAAGTCAGGTTAGCGAAAATGACCCATACCCATATGTATCTGTTCTCACTTCCAACCCCCAGTGTCTTTTCACCCTGGCCTCCCTTCAGCAAGAGTTCTGTTGTGTCCTTCTAGTGAGAATCCCTCATAACACCAATGTTTCCTCTTAGAATCTTTCCCGCTACTGATTCCCCATTCACTCTCCCACCACTGCAAAACCCCATTGCAGTGTTTCTTATACCTAGTCTCCCACCTTGAAAAAAGTAATCCTTAACACCTTTAATAAGCATCATGAATAATTTTTTAACACTAGCTAAAGAAAAAATCTATTCTTTTTTTTTTTTTTTTAAAGACGGAGTCTCGCTCTTTTGCCCAGGCTGGAGTGCGGTGGCACGATCTCGGCCCACTGCAAGCTCTGCTCCTGGGTTCACGCCATTCTCCTGCCTCAGCCTCCCAAGTAGCTGGGACTACAGGTGCCCGCCACCACGCCCGGCTAATTTTTTGTATTTTTAGTAGAGACGGGGTTTCACCATATCAGCCAGGATGGTCTCAATCTCCTGACCTCGTGATCCACCCGCCTCGGCCTCCCAAAGTGCTGGGATTACAGGTGTGAGCCACTGCACCTGGCCACAAAAAATCTATTCTTCAATGGCTCTAATCCTATGTAATTCATATATGTTAGATATGTTTTAGAAATGGCTGTCAGACCTGAACAAGTAATTTTTTTCTCTTCAAATTTTAAGACACTAGAGTTTTTAAAAAGTAGGAAAATTAATAAAGCAATGTTTCTAATTATGGAGGTTTTAAAAACAGCATGACAGAATACCTAGATGATAAAGAAAAAAAATTAGTGATGCCTGTTAAAAGAAAGACTCTAGATAAATTAAATTTAACAGTTTAATTGAACAAAGAACGAGTCTCAAATTGGGCAGCTCCCAGAACCAGAATAGGTTCAGAGAAACTCTGGCATATGGTTTGATAATATTTATGGACAGAAAAAGGAAAGTGGTATGCAGAAAACAGAGTGAGGTACAGAAACAGCGGGATTGCTTACAGCTTGATGTTTGCTTTATTTAAACACAGTTTGTTAACAGCTGACTTCCTGTGACTTGCTGAAAATCTGTGATTGGTGTAAGAATAGTGTATTTACACATCTAGTTAGGCTGCAGTTTACCTTGTAAGGGGAAACTTTTAGGCCAAACTTAAAATATTAATATGTAAGGAGGCAGACTTAGGCTAAATTTGTGCCCAATTTGCCTGCCTTCCTCTTTTACTGAGGAAAGTGTGAAAGGAAAGTAAATCTCAGGACCCCCAAATCACTAAGCAAAAGGGAAAAGACAAGCTGGGAACCGCGTCACACAAACCTGCCTCCCATTTTGCTCCCGAATAAGAGAGCTACAAAGACAAAAAAAGCTACATACCTCCCTCACAATTCCCCACTTAGAAATTCCTTATGAGCCCCAAGATCTTTACCCTGGAACAGTTCTGTTGAATTTCACCCCAACAATGTAAATTGACAGCTTATTCTTTACACATACAGGACAAAGGACAGAACTCAAAGTCATCCCTCTGCTCCCCTGAGACAAGTGCACATCTGATGGCTTCCTGTACTGTTTATCTTATGTAGAAATGCAGATTCACTAAGCTAGATGAATGCACACGTGACTATTCCTCTGCTCCCCTCTCACAGGCAAATGGCTGATCAAAGACTCACAAGAATGCAACCGTTTGTCTCTTGTCTATCCATACCTTTTAAAATTTCCTCCTCTTTCCCCAGTATCCGCCCATTCTCCCTTAAATATTGAAGCCATCAAAATCATCTTTGGAGAACGTTGGCAAAATAAACTTCTAAACTGGTTGAGACCTGTCTCAGATACTTTCTGGTTTTCAAAAGCATAAAAGGACATATAGAACTTAAACAGCATCAGAAATACCGATCAATATTCTGGCAGAAAATAATTTCTGGTAATCACTACTCAGATGAAGCTCCAAGGCAAACTGGTGAGTCCATGGAAGGACGAAAATTATAATTAAGAGCTTTGTAGCTATCAAACCTCATCTTCTTACCCTAACTTCAGAGCAGGGATTCTACTGCCCATATCCAGGGCCGCTTTCAAACATAATTAGGGCTGTTTCTCCTTTATTTTCCCCAACTAAAAGATTTTCTGTATCAATCCTAGGACTATAATTCCTACCCACAAGGTATGACTGTGAAAGTACTTGAAATAGCTGTGATATGACACATTATTCCTAGGAATGTAAAGTCACAATGGGGTGAACCGTGGGAGCAATGTACACCGAGAATTGTTCTTCAATAATAATTTCTGACAAGAGAAGAACTACAGATGTCTGTAGGCAATCCAGGAATAGATGACATAGAGTTCATTAAACATGACTAGGTAACTGTCATCTTTAGGTGTGATATAGTATGATTATGCTTTTTAAAAGTTATATCTTTTGTAGATAGATACTGAAACATTTGTGAAAAGGTGATGATGTCTGGAATCTGCTTCAAAATAATCAGAGGTTGGGTAGGGGCGAATGGGAAACAATAGATGAAACAAGCTATGAAAGCTGGGTGATGAGTCCATAGAATTCATTATACTATCTGCTCTGCTTTTGCTATGGCTGAAATTTTCCACAACAGAAAATAAAGATAAAATAACATAATTAAAATCAGCTCTGAAAGCTGCACACAATTAATACTATTATGATACTGTGAAATATATATTTGGCCTTCACCCCTTGGTTTCCTGACA